CTCCGCGGCCGGCACCTCCTTCACCCGGTACGGGTTGCTGAATATCTGCGTGACGCTGTTGAAGGTGTCCACCAGCCGCCCCAGGAACTGCATCTTCCCGGAGCCTCGGGCGGCTGATCCCGAGGGCAACGAGGCCACAGGCTCCGCCCGGCCGCTGCCCTTCCACAGGCTGCGTGACTCAGCGCCTGCGTAGGAGAACCCCGAATCGCCGGGGTGACACGGGGCCGGGAATAGGGTCGGGAATGGGGATGGGGATGGGAGCGGGGACGGACCCTAGAACGGGGCCGGGCAAAGCACGACGGGCCCCCAGCGCCCCCCGCGCGCGAGCCTCGGCGCGCACCGCCCCCTGGGGAGGGCCAATCAGCGGCACCACCCCCTGGGACGGGCCAATCAGCGGCGCCGCTGCCGGGGAGGGGCCGCGGGGGCGGGGCACACGCCACACCCGCCGATTTCCCGAAGAGAGGAGGGCGGAAGGGTGGGGGGCGCCATTTTATGAGAGGCGGGGTGGTGGGGGCGGGGCCGAGTCTCTTAAAGCGGCAGCGGCCCATTTCGGTGTGCCCCCCTGCTCCCGGCATGGCCGCTCACCGGACGTGCGTCGTCCTCGAGTCGGGGTTATAACCGGCGCTGTTGTAGCTTGCTCGCGTTCGTGCCTCGGCGTGTTTAATACGCTGGCAGTGAGCGACGAGGGCCGTCACGCCGGGTCTCTCCAGGATCAGAGGTCTCTTTAAGAGCAGCGCCCGCCCCGCGCGGCGGCGGCGGGGAGGGGGCGCGGCGGGGTGACGTCACCGCATGACTGTGTTTTTATGAATGAAAAGAATCCGCGGGTGAGTAATCGCGGGGAGCGGGGCTGGAGCTGTCGCCCGACGCCCCGATCGGCACCGGCCCCGCGGCACCGCCGCAGCCGCCAGGTGAGCGCCGGCCGAGCGGCACCCCCGCTCCGCTTCTCCCCCCGCGGGGCGGCCGGGACAGGGAGGCGGCGGGGTCCGGCACCGGCTGGAGGCCGCTCCGCCGCCGCCGAGGGCGGGGACCGGGGCTGGGGCTGGGACGGGACGGGATCGGACGGGGCGAGGGGGGAGGTTGTCCGCGCCCGGCGCCGTCCGCTCTTTCCTCCCAAGTCCCAGCCACCGCCCTGGAAGGATCCGCCGCCGCTCCCCCGGCTCCGGCGGCGACTCCCCGGCCCGGATTGCATCAGCTTTCAGCTGCCCCGGCTCCACCTTCCCCGCCGCCCCCCTCCAGCCCCTCATCCCTCGCGAGGCGTTCCCGGCTCTGCCCCGGCCCCAGTCGCCCCTCCGAGGGCTCCTCTGGCAAGGACGGAGCTCCCCGAGGTGGGGAGAGACTCCTGGGCTGCAGCGTGGGGTTCCGGACCCCTTCCCGCTCTCCGAGCCCCGGGACGGGGAAGAACCGGGCACCGACGAGGGGACGGGCGCCGCTTCGGTGACTTTCTCCCTGTGCTGCTGAATCACGGGGAGGCCACTTCTCGCCCGCCCACCTGCGTGGCCCCGACCCTTCGCCCCCCGAGCGTGTGGACGCCCGATCCTTGGGCCGGGAGCCGCGGTGCCCTCGCCCGCCGAGGTGGAGGGGCGGCACCTCCGCGCGGGTCCCGGCTGGGTGGCCTCGCCACAGTGTCGCTCCGTGGGGATGCTACTTTTACTTTCCCTTCAGCCTTGAGCGGATCCGTCGCGGGCTTCCTCCCCGCGGGGAAGCCTTGGCCTCTCAGCAGCGGCTGGGGCGTTTTGGGTCCCGTGGGCAGAGCAGCATCCCCACCATCTCGTGATGGGATGAAGGAGGGATGGGATGAAGGAGGGAGGTCCAGCCTTCCTCTGTTATTATTATTATTATTATTGCTTGCAGTCATCGTTGCTATTAATATTATTACTACGTACTTTTTTTAAACGAGTGGAATGAGTCACACGACCCGGGGCGGGGGGAATGTGGGCAGTGGGCAGGGAACCAGCAGGGCCGGTGTCCTCTCTTCTGTGGTGAGGGCCATGGGGCTGGCTGTAACCAGCTTTTCTCCTGGCTGCTCAACAGGGCCAGCGTGAGGGAACAATGGCTTCAGACGGGCTCTCCAGCAAGGCTTTGAAGGTGAGTGCCAGTGAGAACAGGGGGTTGGGAGGCAGGGGGCTGGTTTGGGATGCCTCAGGCGACCACCCCTCTCTCCGGCAGGTGAAGCGGGAGCTGGGGGAGAACACGCCGCTGCTGTCAGATGAGGAGCTGATGGGTCTGTCGGTGCGGGAGCTCAACCACCACCTGCGGGGCCTCTCCAAGGAGGAGGTGGCGAGGCTGAAGCAGCGCCGTCGGACGCTGAAGAACCGGGGTTATGCTGCCAGCTGCCGGGTGAAGCGCGTCTGCCAGAAGGAAGAGCTGCAGAAACAGAAGATGGAGCTGGAGTGGGAGGTGGACAAGCTGGCCCGGGAGAACGCTGCCATGCGCCTGGAGCTCGACACTCTCCGTGGCAAGTACGAGGCCCTGCAGGGCTTTGCCCGCACCGTGGCCACCCATGGGCCCACTGCCAAGGCGGCCACCGCCAGTGTCATCACCATCGTCAAGTCCGGCACCAACCAGGCCGCCTACTCCTAGTGCTGGCCTCCATCCCCCGGCTGGGCACAGTCCTCCCTGGGGTGCCTTCCCCCATGAATTGCCTCCCAGCCTTTCCTCGACCTCCTCCCTGCTGGGACTTGTACCCAAAATCCTCCTTCTCCTCTCCCTTGACCTCCAGCTACCCTATGTGGGGAGGGCTGCTGCAGTGTGGGTGCTGGGGTGGAGGACATGACCCCACTGGTGGCCCCCACCACCCCCTCCCCTCCTGGGGGTGCAGGCAGGAGAGAGCAAACCCACACAGGCAGCAGCAGGGAAATATCCCATGGCTCCAAGCTGGTGGAAAAACATCAGGTTTGTCCTTTTAGGGAGAGGGCATGGGAGAGCTGAATGCAGGCCAGGCAGTCCCAGGAGCCAGAGAGGGAAAGGAGGGGAGGTTTTGCAGTGCAGGGGAAGAAGGCATAGGTGAGGGATATCAGCATTGGGCACACAACTTGGACCACAGCTGGAGCAGGGAGGGAAGTGGCAGCATGGCTGAAGTTTCTGGGGATGGAGATGGCGAGGGAAGGTTGGTAGGTCAAGGCAGGAGAGAAAGTAGCTGCAGGTTGATGTCGGGTAAGTGTGAACGGAATGGGAAAGCACCGTGGCAGCATGTGGTGCAGGGGGACCCCAGAGGTGACAGTGATGGAGGGTCCCTTGGGCAGGGGAGAACTGGGGGACATGAGTGAGTCAGCCCAGGCTGTTGTCCACAAAGGGGAGAAGCAGTGGTGCTGTTTTATCTTCCCCTATCACGCACATCCTTCACGCCTCTTCCTGCTGACGGGACACTCAGCCTGGCTGGGTGTCCCTGAAATGCAGCAGCACTGGCAGGAAGGAAGCGGAGGCAGCTGGAGCAGAGATAAACACTGTTTTGCTCAGCACGGGCCAGCTTGTACAGCCCCACCAAGCGCTCCCCAGTGCCCCACCGCCTACAAAGCCCATGGAAAGGTGCTCCTGGCCCTTGAGGAACAGAGCTGCAGAGGCAGAGAGAGGGGTGGAGGTGCAGGAGGTGGGAAGGACGGACAGAGAGCTCCTGGGAGCTGCCTGGCAGGCAGGTAAAGCTCCTCCCTTTGGTTTTCCTCCAGCTTGGACACCCGGTGTGGGACAACCAGCTCTTTGGCAGGCTGAAATGCTGGGGAAGAGCTGGGTTTGCTAAATATGGGCAGAACAGGGGAGGTAACAGGAGGCAGACCTGTCTCGGCATCTTCTGCTGTGGATGATTCCCCTGCCCCTCTGTTCTGCCCTTGCCTGAGTATTCCCACGCCAGCCACCCTCGGCTGCAGCCTTCATCCCTCCCCGGAGAGAGGTGCCTGCTATTTGTGGAGGCGGCACTGTGGTGAGCATCCCCCCCACCCCAACTCCCCTTGGGTTTATTTATTGCACGAACATAAGTTATTTTCACGTCCTCTTTGCCATTCCGCCTCTCGGCACAGCCAGGATGTTGGTACAGAGCCGTACTTTATATTTTATATATGCAAATCACATTTTATCTTATATAGAGCAAAAAAAAAAAAAACTTATTTATTTTCTGACTTACAGTATGTGTCCTACCCGACTTCTCTGTATTTTGTAGACTTTACAAATAAAGCAAGTTCTTTTTTTTCCACAGGGAGAGTGTGTTTAGTCATTCTTGAACTTGGAACAGAGCTGTATCTCAGTGAGACCAGATTTTCTAGCTCCCTCTAGCTTTGCTGCAGGACACGTTCAAGAACGTGCCCAAAAAAGATGAGACAGGGGACCACTCATAACTCCTTAGAACAGAGTTATAGTCCCTGAAAGGGCTTGGAAAGCAAGCTTAATGCTGAACATCACTCCCCAAAGCACTTGCTTTCAGGAGCAGTGCAGCTGTGCTGAATAAAGCTTTTCCTAGGAAAAATAATGCTTTTCACTAGAAAATTTCCCTCTGGACTGCCCTTGGACTGGATGCTGGAAGAGAGGTAGGTGCACCCTGACCTTCTTGTGTGGAAAACCACCTTTCCTTAGAGCTGAGGTGGAAGTGTTCCCCTGATGCCCAGGTGGGCCTGGTCCCCAGCAGGTTGCAGCACTCAGGATGTTTTGGGAGTTTAACATTCCCATTCCCTCTGCCACTTTCTGCCCTGGCCCCAAGGGTGCTCATGGAAGAAAAGCCCAGAGCCACTGTTTGTATGGGGCCATGTCAGAGAGCAGCCCCCTCTCTCCCACAGGTATTTCTCACTGAGCACCTAAGGTAGGATTCATTTCTACAGGCTTTTGACACGTACCTTGAGCCCATGAGTGGTGTCTCAGCCCAGAGTGCTGCAGCCATGCTGCTCCATCAGCTCCTACAGACACCTGGACCTTTCCTCCTGAGGACAAAACATCCCAACCCACCAAGCATCAGTCCCTGCAACGAGCAAAAACTTAAAATCAGGTCAGAGAAGTCACCCAGACAACACCACGCAGAGGCAGTTTAAGTACAATCTATATTATCTCTATATTTTTTATTTGTCATCATATTTGCTCATTTCTGCAGAGTATAACGTCACAAAGACCAAAATAGAGAGAGCGGCTTGTCGCTGAGCTCACATCAGTTAAACACAATAGGTACAAAACTAGGTGACTCTGTCTTATTTATCATACTTTTTTTTTTCAGTCATTTATATACAAAGAACTACTCTATATGGAAAAATAATAAACAAATCCCATGGGTATGTTACATGGTAAACAAAAAGGAAGGAAGGAAGGAAGAAGAGTGGAAGCAGGTGAGGGAGAGCAGCTCCAAGGGCCTACTCCTGGAACTGCCACATTTCTTGAGGCCCTGGGCTACCATGAGCAGACCTGCAAGACCACAAATACCTTGGCCTTCTCGGTTTCAAGCTCTGAATCTTACATTTGCTCCTCCAAGCCAGAGTGGCTTCAGAGCCAATCCTTGCTCTGGCACTTGCCTGTCATGAGGGAGAGCAGCAAGCTCTGTGATGGATGATTTTGTGTGGTGTTAAAAAATATATATGTATATAATATTATAAAGCAGGGCAGCTGGCTGTTGTTTGGGCACTAGTTCTTCACCAGGCTTCTCTGAAGGCAGATGGTGCGAAAGGATTATATTTGAAACCGCTACATAAAGGATGCTTTGAGAATGTCCAGATCCTCTGCAGAGCATGTATATGCAGGAGACATTTCAAAGTAAGTTCTAAGAAATGCTTCTCCAAGCCTGAACCACCTTCGTGCTCAATGAGGCAATAACTGAGATTTTGCATTTTGGCCACCCAAATGCAACAAAGATTGGGAACGGTCACCAAGTGGGTGACTGGGACATCATCAAGACCTGCAAATGCAAAGAAAGGGGAGGGTAGGAACATGTCCTACACCCTACTTTCCTAAGAGAGAGGGCAACTTTACCATAAGTACCTCATGCTTAAAGGACTATTAATCAAAGCCATAGAAGACAGAAGGAAAGCCCATTCAGTCTTCAGCCCTGCATGTCCATGTAAGCAGACACAGACTTAGGAAAAGCAGTAACTAACAGTATGGCATTGCAAGATGTGTGTAAATAGGGAAATCCAACAGCACACAAGCTGCTGGATCCACTGCCTCCAGCTCCGTCAACAGTTAGCACTGTTGCTCCCACCTGATTCATTGTCCCTCCAGACACAAGTACAGAAGGAGATATTTTCCTTAAGCCCTTCCCTTATCTTATTCTCACAGCAGGGAGCAAACCTACCTCTCTTTAAGCCCTTTTGCCCAGCTTGGGCAGGGGTACTGAGGAAATGAGATGCTCTTAACTCACTGTTGCTTCTGAGACACTGAACAAACAAGCAGATGATTAGGAAACAAATGGAGAGGTAACCTGCAGGCATTAAACCAGCCTCCAGTGCTCCTAGCAGAGCAACGAGGGCAATGTGGAACTGCACAGCTCTGCTGATGGCAGGGAAGGCAAGTGGGAGAGGAATTGAGAAATTACAGCTGAGAAGAACACAGCAGCTTGCTCCAATATCTCAGTTTGGCTTCCCTCTTGCAGGCAGGAGCATCTGACCTGTAGCGCTTGAGGGTGCTGCCCACTCTTCCCCTAGATAATTTTAAGCAAGCAAGAGGCATTTTCTGGTCCCTGGATAGATCTACAGAGGGATCACTTCTATTGTCGCTCTACTAAGTACTCATGGGCCCACCCAAAACCCAATGGAAGCAAGGGAAAGCTTCTCCCATGTCCATGGATGCTGGTTCCACCCTTGATAGCACTCAGTTGCAGTAGGGTCTGTGAAATGTGCAGCAGCAGCAGCAACCGCTGCCTGGGAGAATAAAAGGGACAATTTCGACCAGCCAGGTCATGTCAGGTTTCAAGTCTGCTCCAGTTTGGCCCAGAACAGCTATGGAGATAAAAAACGAAGGAGTGTGCAACGTTCCTTTCTGAATATTCCAGCCTAAGAGCAAAATCTGCGCAGCTCACAGGGAAAGTCAGTGATACCAAGCATGGGGAGAGATACCTGTAAGACACCAGGACCTGCTCTGGCACCTACCTGGTGCAACCCACACCTTTAAGAGGGGCAGCTGTGATGCCAAGGAACAGGAAACAAAAACAAAAACTGGTTTTGTGTTTACATATCTTCCCTTCCCGAAGAGGAGTGAAGGGGCCAAAGCTCTACAAACTTCCACCACCTGTCATGGGCAGTCCTCAGTCTTGTTAGCAGGAGACAAATGCTCCAGGGAGGCTTCTAGCCACAGGAACAAACAAGGGAGATGGGAAGCTTGGACACTTAGTGATTAGAAAACTCCATCCTTGTAAGAAAGCAACTCCATCCCCACTGAGCCTCAACAAGCATCAGCTTTGATGGTGATCAGTGGATGTAGGGAGCCAAAAAACAGGAAAAAAGCCCTGTCCTTTCGCCCTTGGCTCACTCAAGTGACTCCAGGGCTCAAAACCAGGTACTCAGGAGGGTGGGGGCAGATATTCCTTACTTAGCATTCAAGGCAATGGCTATATAGACCAGTCTCTGGTCTGGTCCTCAGGAATGCTTATCACTGCATCCCAATCCAATTTCCCAAGGATCACAGAGATGTTAGTACCAGAGAGTTGGGGGAAAAAACTGCCTACCTCAACCATTCGGGAAAAGAAATACAAAGCAGTTAGGTTGTCCTGTTGGGAAAAAAAAACCAAAAACACTTTTGGCCACAACTCCAGGCTCTGGCCAGTCATGCTCCACACCAAGCTGGACAGGTGTAGGAAGCCAGAACCCCAAACCCTGGAGCTTTGCTTCAATTAATTTGATTGCTGCTTTAAGGAATGGGCTCGAGAATAGAGTCCTGGCCATTCCACCACCTCCACAATGCTCATCATGTCCGTACCCACAAAGCTAATGGGAAGTGCCCACACTTCTGCAATCTGTACTCTCTAGGAAGTGATATGACTTGTGTGTTTCTGCTTTAATAAATTATTAAAAAAAAAAAAAAAAAAAGGAGGAAATTGACAGCCTGTGCTGGCAGTTTCCCCTCCTAGAATTCATCGTCAGAGCTCAGTAAGAGGGTCTTCTCGTTGTCACGGGCACCAGAGCAGCTGTGGGAGCGCGAGATAACGTGACTGCCATTGCGCCAGGGTGGACCGTGCTCCAGCGTTGACTGCTGGGTGTACTGCTGGTAGGCTGGGGAGAAGTTGTGGATCGCATCTTGGACAATGTCGTGAGGGTTCATGGTCTCCTTGAGGCTGCTGGAGATGCTCTTCATGGGAGCACAGCGACCTGTTTGGGTAAGACAGGGAGGGACAAGTGAAGAACACTGCTGCCTTCCCCCATGCCCCCGATCGTGAAGGTAAGGGGGAAGAGGGAACATGCAATCCTAGATCCCGCAGACGGTATGTTACAGACTTCCTTAAGTAGTTGCTGAGGAAATGCCACACAAATGGTTTTACCAGTGGTGCTCCTAAACTCAGATGCTATTAGCCAAGTGAATCCACCTCAGCATTAAATGGGGGACACACCATGAGAATGGGGCATACCCACAGTGACAACCTCCACTATGCGCTACCAGTGCTGGCTTGGGTGTGCAATGAAGACAGTCAGATAGGGAGGTACTCCTGTAAAGGGTTTCAGAAGACAAAAACTAAGGAAATGCTAAAAATTGTAGAAGAAATGCCATTTGCCATTCCCACTCACTGGAAATTACACTGCTGGGTGGTATCTAAGTGTCCACAGGAAGTGGGAAAGCGGCACAAAGGAGGGAAAGGAGGGGAACAGGCAGTACTAGAGGCAGAACCACCCCTTGTGTAGAGGGTGTCACAGTGATACCATGAAGGGAGCAACAGTTGGAGATTGTCCCACTCAAGTGCTGAGCACAGAGGAAGGCAGTGTCTCCTTCTAGGAAATGCCATTTCTCATGGTTTTTAGGTTCCATTTCCAGTGTGGGTTTCTGGCTCTGCTCAAACCTGGGGATGAGCTCGATGAGAGAAGCAAAGTATGCTGATCATCTTTGGCAATTACAAAAGTGAGGGGAGGCTGGGGTGAGAGAACAAACCAGCTCCTTTGAGGCTGCATGGCTTTGACAGGAACACTCTGAAGCTGTGTGTTACTCCACTGCCCACACAGCCATTTTACTGCTTATAATCCAGACAACCCTAAAGAAGCTGTGTGAGGCAACAGAGTTACAGACCTACAAGGAAGGGGGAACAAGGGACAGGGACAGACTGTAGGCAAGCTGGGAATCAGGAGAGAACAGCATCCCAGCTAAAAGCCAACTGAGACAAACACACAAAGCATGCTGTACCTACCGTATGGCCCATATGATGGAACAGCTGCATCAGGGACCAGTGGCCAAAGCAAGGGAGAGATAAAAGGAAGAGGAGAGAGAGACAGAGACAGAGAGAAAGAGGAAGTAACAAGAACTGAACAAGGCCCACCACCGAAACATTCCCCACTTGTACTTGCCAGTTTACCCTTTCATCACCAACAGATCTCATCTCCCCCCACTGCAACCACTTTCCTTCCAAAACCTCTGGGGCTGGCTGGGATGGAAAGGTCATCTACAGGCTGCTGTCTTCCCACACCTCATCACAGATCTCCCTCAGCAGGAAAGAACCCCTTTACTTAGAAAACGCTGAATGTACGTGCATAGACTGGACGCAAAAACCCCCTTTTCCCAGGGATAACAACCACCTTCCTCTTCCCTAGAATAAGACTTCTAGCAGCCCAGCCCTCACAAAGTCATTACAGGGAGATCCTCCTCCTCCATGACAAACATATTGCCAAAGCACAGTCTCATCTTCCCAAGCCAGATTCAAAACAGAGCCTGTTTTAGGCCCTGTCCCTCTTGACTTCAGTCTGTTGCACAATCTGGAGCAGTGGAGTTCCCCTTTGGTGAGACAGGAAGAAGGACAAACCCACTCCACCGAAACGATGCAACTTCTTGCAGCCCTCAGGTCTGCAACAAGCTGTTGTGGGTGGCACACTGGGGAACTGAAAAGGGAACAGTGCAATTCAGGCAAGGTTTCTGCCCTGCAGAGCCATTGCACAATGAATCTGTTCAGACACCACGGAGGAGGGGATGTGATATTTTCCAAGCATTCAGGTTGGGAGTCATATCAGTGTGCTGGTTGCCTGAGGGACCAATCTCCACCCAGTCTCACTACTGAAGAGACAAACCATATGCACTGGCATACTTCCTACCTTGGGCATCAATTCTCTTGTCCACATACACTTTGTATGTGAAGGCATGGCGCAGGGCGATGGCTGCAAAGAACATCTCCACACAGATGATGAAGTCTTGATACCCAGCAGCTACCGTGCCTTCACCCACAGACACATCAGCAGAGTGGATTTTGGGGATGGCACCACACTTTTCCAAGATGGCCAACAGCATCCCTAAACAAAGCAACAAGCTCATGTAAATGTGCAGAAAACATGATAACATGGTAACTGTCAAGAACAGCTGTGTGTGCTGTATGTCCTACATGCAACTCTACAACACAGGAGCTACAAACAGAGCGGGCTACATACACCCACCTACAGTCACTTGTGCAACAGAGAAAAGAGGAATGAGATAAATACACTTAAGCAAAGAATGTTCAAACACCGACCCTCTTCTATTCTCAACTGATGCATAAACTGTGGAACTAACTGTTGCGGGACTTATTCAAGTCCAAAACAGTAAAAGCAGTCAGGTATTTCTGCAAGCACTCCTGTGATCTCTCTGTTGTCCCAATACAGGTTCTTTCACATGCTGTGCAATAGGCCAATCCACACACAGCCTAGGTATTTGATTTATTTACAGTTCTGTGCAGAAAGGAGTGCTGGGGGGCAAACCCACAAAGCCAGCACAACCACTACCAAAACTCACTTGTTTATACATTTTAGCAAACACAGCCATTAATGTTCCTTGGCTACAAGTCTCCTAGTTCTCTTATTAATTAGTATTTTATCTCCTATTGGTTAACAATTGTTTCACTTCTCATACCAATTAGTCTTCTTGCTCAGTCTTTCTCTATTTTCAAGTCAGTGGGTTTTTTGGGTCGGTGGTCATGATCTCCCACTGCCAGAATTACCTTTTACCCAGTCAGAGCTGATTCAACACAGTTGATGAGTTGTCTTTTTAGTTTCTTCCTTATCTTGGGGGTTCTGCCTAATGACCTCGGGGCCCGTAAATTCTACATTCTTTGTGTCCCCTCTCAAAGGTACATCCTTCTTCCCAAGCTTTGTTAACCTCCCTCTAGATCTGAGATCTGAAATATGTCGAGCCCCAAACCATAACAAGGTAATTCTACAGACAAGTAATTTGTCTTTTAACACCTGGACATCACTTAGAGCTTGTTAGCTGCTCTCTGTTTCATGGATTACATCTTCTTTCTTGTTGATTAGACTTGAAAATGCACAAAAATCAAACATCAAAGAACATAAAAGAAAATTTTTACATATTCCACATTTTGCAACATCAGCACTTCCACTAGCTAGAGCAAAAATTCAAGTAACAGAACTTTTCATTTAACATATGGTATTTTTGACACACCACTGCAAGGAAGAGGTTCTTCCCTGTACAAAACCATGGTGGCTGCAGAATTCCAAAGAAGACAGAAGTGTGCAACCAAATGGCTCAAGATGATAAACTAGATGCTTATTAGTTTGTCCATAGACAGGGAGGATGGGCCACACTCCAACAGCCTGAATTCCACCCAAGTTCCTACTCAATTAGTCTTTGAAGTGCAACTCAGTAAACCTAAGTAGGGCACTGAACAGGGAAATGCTTAGAGCCAATTAGTAAGAAGCACTAAGCTTAGGTGGAATTTCAACTTTCCGAATGCGCCTCTGCATCATGTGTATGAATTCCTAATGTCTCGTTCAGCGGTGGGTCTGTAGCAAGCACACACCACATTCAGCCAGCTTGCTGCTTCACATAAATCACAGACATACCATTAAAATTTAATTTATAGAGCACTAAAAAAAGTACTAAAAATTTTGAGATGTGCCGCTTTAATCAGTGAAATGGCAGCACGCAGATAAAATGCCGGCAGATTGTGCTTTATGACTGTTCCAGGAATGCAAAGGACTCTTCATCCTATCAGCTGATTTTGCCAGGTAGATATGCGCGTGCACACGCGCACGCAGGGACAGTGAGGATTCAGGAGCATAGAAACAAAAACGAAAATGAGCAAAACAGGTTTTCCAGAGAAGAGCAATGAACAGCTATAAAACAAATAGAATACAGAAATACATTCTGTCTATTCATCAACATCTGCTCTCTCAACTCTAGTGTCTGAGGCCCTGCAGAGAGCTCTGTGTGCCTACCAAGGGAAAGGAAAAGCAGCTCACCTTGCCAGAAGGACAGGAAGATGACAGACTTCACCATGAAGAACTTGAGGACTGGGCTATAAGGACTGAGTAGCTCACGTGTGGCGAAGTAGAAAAGGAAGAGGGCATACAGTGCCAGGCTGACAGAGATGTTGTAGATGATCGTCACATAGAGGTAGCCACTGGTCACACTGAAAAGAGAAGATACATGAATGCCTGAAGCTTCAGCATGATCTTTTCCTCTTGCCACTGTCACTGGAGAGTTCGAAGAGCCCATTCCCTTCCTGCCTCCCTGTCCCATTCCCTCCCCCAAAACAAGGTAAAAAACCCTGAAACTAAGAGGGCTACCTCTGCCCTGTTTTCTCATGTGCATCTGTCCATGTTGTCCCATCTTTTCCCATGGCCCAGCACACACACAGACAATATGCAAAGCCAGGAAGAGAAGGGGCAGCAAGTCTTGCATGCCAGACAAATAAACTTACTCAAAGTCACCATCCTGGTACTTGCCGAAGGCCTGAAGGATGACTGTGCTGATCGCCATGAGAGGCTTCACCACACAGAACTGCAGGGTAGCCTACAGGAATGAGAGAGGAAGAATGATAAGACAGGAGATCCAAGTCCCCAAACCAGCACCACGATGTAGTGTCCACTAGGACAACTCAGCAAGGCAATACAGTCCAGCCCCAACAAGGAGTCTGACCCTGCCACTTCCTAATCAATTGTGCTCGAGGACTCCAACACCTAAAAAGAGATAGAGGAGATTCAGAAGCAGTAAGTGGCCTATCTAGTTGTCCAGAACAGGAAGAAAAACCACTCTGTAGGGTTGCTCCTAGAGGCTGCTCAGGTCCTGTCTTCCAGAGTTGCTTTTCACAGGCTGTGCTGCAGCACATTTATACATGGCAACTGTATGAAAAACAAAAAATCCCACACCGCGCTATAGTATGGACAGAGTAAGTTTAACAGAGGCATACTGGGAAAGGAAAACAAACTCCAATCCACAGTTGTCATAAAGTTAGGCAAGAAGGTCCTCTGGATCGGAGGGGAACTTAGTTCTCCAAGGAGGAACTTTTGACAGCTGCCACGATATTAAGGTGTTTTGTATACACGGAGATGTGCGTTGACAGACAGAAGTGAAGAGCTGTTCTGCTGTCATCCAAGTGACCTTTACCAAATCTCCCCAAAGATTCCATGGCACTTGGGATCAACTCTACCCATTCTGCCAGTATAAACCACTGCTCCTATTGTGACAAGTGCTCTCTCAAAGCCACCCCATTCTTCAACTTTCTGGAGATGTTGGACTTCAAAGTCCTAAGAGAGTGAAGGCTTGTGACCCTAAAAATGTTTCCCTGAAAAGACATGACCTGTATCTCCCTGAAGGAGGCTGAAAGAGCCTTGGCAGGTGCTGACCTGTGCACATGTGGGGAGGGCTATGTAAAGAAAGAAGGCAAAACCAAACAGTAATAACTGCTTTGGATACGATGCAATTTGTTAGTGGTCATAAGACTTCAAGGAGATTAAAAACCCCAGCACATGCCAGTTAGTGAGTCACTGTAAATATGTGAACTGGAAAAGGTCAAGCAAATTGGTAAACAACTCCATCCTCTGAGCTTCCCCTTCTTCTGACCTGGGATGTTTTAACCATTTCCCTGCAATCCAAACCACCACGTACTATTTTTAGTTGCTTCCCTAGAAGATGCTACAGCGTATGGGAAGCACATGGATGGTGTGTGACCCATGTGTGAGGGTCATCAGACACAGGCCCAGTAAAGAATCTTAATCAAGACATCTCTAAGGAAACAAGCTGTTTGGATTTTACGCTGCAGCCACCACACTGCTGGAGGGCCACAGGAAACACAGACAGACTCACTAACCCAAAACAGGCACCTGCCTGAGAAAAGCTTGTAGTGGGGTGAAGACGGAAAGAAAGAATGATTATAGTACAGATTCCTTCAGGATGAAAGGGTTGGAAAGAGCAGAAAATGGGCAGGTGTGATGGGAGGCAACAGAAGTGCTGGAGATGCTGAGAACAGGGCTAGAAAGGACAAGGTGTTTCTTCCAGCACATTCCTCTCCCTGACCATTGTGATGGTGGATACTGCCCAGATCAGTACTGACATGTGCTCTGTTGCTCTTTTGCACCAGTCTTCCCAGGAATTTGCCTTGAGGGGTCTTCCTTGGCAACCCTGGAAGTCTAGAAGTACCAGAAAGTGAGTCTTGGCGTCAACAATTTCTCACCAAGGCAATATTTAAGCTCAAGCCAAAAAGGACAGAAGTATTTAAACATCCATTTGCAAGATATCTCCCTCACAGCCTCCACAGCAGTCTTACTAGTTAGCAAAGGGCAGATCTGACTAGAAGAATTGCTGCTAGATAGCAGCAAGGGAAAAGCAAAATATCCACCTTAGCCAGAGTTGCCAAATGAGCTAGGATTTGTGGAGGCTGACAGAAAAAACACACCTCCCCCTCCCCAAAGAGTGCTTCTAGTCCTCATTGTGGTGAACAAACTTTCCAAACACAGCCAGGCACAACCTGTGTGGTGGTAACCGCCAAAGGCTGTGAGACATGAGAAACAAGAGGTCTAAGGGAAATTATTTCTCCAGCACTCATTCACCTTTCATGGGTGTTACATCTGCTTATTTAAAAGGTAAAAGTTAACATTAGGAGCACAAAGAATAGGTAATGCAGTGTATCCACCATAGGGTGTCCAAATGAAACCCAAGAGAAACAGGTGAAGCAGCATATTGGGTACAGAGTAGAAAATAAAGCATCAGGGAAAAAAAACCCAGGAAAGCTGTAAGGACAAAATATGGGGCGAGGACAAACAGAACAGATAAGCAAAAGATGCCATCCTTTGGAAACGGTCACTTGTGCTGCACTGGATATTACTGAGGTGGCATTTTAACTTTGATATTTCTGCATATTGCTAAAACATAGACGACAGGTCATGATGTACAGGAAAAGTCAGGGCAAAGATCTAGACTGAGTGACTGGAATTACAATGACCTGAGCCCCTTCAAAGAACCAGACCTGCTTCATGCTGTCTCCAGAGAAACCTTGTGTGTTCATTTCAGCAAGTGAGCAAAGACTTGAAATTCACCTGCTGTTTGATGACAGCCAGAGGTGACTGACCTGGGATGAGCAGACAAGGGTTGTATCGAGGTTTAGATCTCCCTCGCTCCCGCCCTCCCACTCGACATACCCAGTTCAGCACAGACAGACACACATGATGAGCAATACTCGGTTCCTCCTACAAAGCAATGTGTCATGCTTAACCTCCACCCCCTCCTCAACTCCAAACCACAACAGCAGCTTTGGGAATTCAGGAGGCTGTTACACAACTGGGGTGTCTGCCACACAACACAGACATCTTAAAGTTGGGACCTCTGTAATTCATAAAGGGAAAAGTTTCTTCACAGGGTTACCATCAGTTCCAGGAGATAACTTGCATCTTTTGCTAAGGCTTTCCTGATGCAGGGTTGAGGAGGAAACGTTAAAATCATTCAAAACAAACCAACTCTGAAACACCTCCTCTTCTCAGCAGTTTGCAGGCCTCTCAAAATGCTATTACAACCCCCCTCAAAGGAGTGCTCATCTCAGAAGTTCAGTAGCAAAAGGCACCATTGCCACCCACATACACTTCATTCATTTCTGCAGGATGGCACAGCCCCTCCAGCCCATACCTGTTTGCAGAACCTCAGGAATCCAATCGAATAGGTCTTTCCCCACAGGCAGCAAGTTCCATACACACAGCTGGACCTGAAACAGCAAACATAAGATGAGAGGGTTCACAAGCAAGATTTGGGCTAGAGTGCAAGATTCCTACCCTCTTTATCTATCTCTCTGTAGCAAAGGTGCAGGACTGGTGCTTTCTCCAACCATAATTAAAGTTACAGCCATACTCTTTCAGAGAAATGTCTAAAACAACATCCTGACTATACACTCCAATTATGTTTTTCCTTTAATTGAGTAGCATGGGGAGAAACATAGATCCTAAAGGAAGCACAATCAACTAAGGCCAGAAAAGATTTAAAGGAGGAGAAGGGAATAAGAAAATAAACAAATGCGTAGGCAGGTGTCCAGAAAAGCTGTGTATCAGTCCAGCTTGCCTAAGAGGATGTGATCACCCTGATCTGTCTCAGAGCAGGGTACTGGTAAATCATCACCATCCACACTGCCCAGTCCCAGCAGACATTTGCCACATGACACAGTTTTTCAGGGCAGGGATAAGAGGAAAAGTAGATGGGCTCAGAAGGAGGATAGCGTCATGCTGTAAGCACAATAAATACTCACTCAATTGGTTTCCCTCTGATCTCAGACATGATGGAGCTCTCCCCTCCCAAGTACTCATAGCAGAGGCTGAGAAAGTTGTATATTACAAAGGCTGCAAAGACATCAATCAGAGTAAAATGACAACCAACTTCAAAACAGGTGCAAGGACCAAGAGTACAGGCAGCAGACCAAACATTAGCAGGGACTGCTTATGCAGCACCTTTCCCTTCAAAGCACTCCAGATTATTTTCACTGCATTTATCATTCTACCTCAGCACTCACAAGACTATCTGAACCGAAGCTTGGCCATGGTCCCAGGCCAGTTCTATGACTCATGCCGAAAGGGTCACAGAATCATTTAAAACTGTGGTCAGTCTCTGTTTTACTTGGCATCTGTAAGATGCCATTCTTTACAGGGTTCCTGTGCATTATTCTAGGACATTACACTGGTACTAAATAATCTGGGAAAGATACATCTGACCCATTAACCATATGTTATCTCCTGTATTTAACCTTCTAGCTGATGAACACAGTTTCTCTCTGCCAGGTAATCAGACTATAGACATGAGGTGGAGAAACAGAGGTTTTAGTGAAACATTGTTTTCATGTCTGGTAGAGATTTTTGAAAAAAAAAAGATTCTGTGCTTTATTTCCTCAGAAAGATGAAATTTCTTGTCTACTGAATAAACTTCTCCTTGGGTCGCTTCACCTTCCCCAGCAACATGGTACAGACAGCAAACAGCCTTCTCGAACTGACCACTAATAGTTTGTCCTATTTCAGTTCTCCATTAACTACAGATATATTTCCTTTCCACTGGATCCAAACCCACTTTAATGCACGGAGTAAGCCTGCAGGTGCCCTGTCTGCCACTCTCTGGACTTGTTACAATCGCTGTTGGACCCTCAAAGTTGTGAGATTTTTTAGGGTAAGGACTGTACCGCTGAGTTTGTTGCGTACAGCCCTGGGCAAAAGGACAGACCAAATGACCCTTCTTTCAATATTATTTTCTATGGTCATCTGTACCTGGACATTCCCTGGAAGGACAACACCCAAATCCTACTTTTTGCCCCAAACAATTTGGGATAGAAACAGAAGTCTCAAGGAACTTTGAAATAAGAACAGAAGCCTAATAACATACAGCACCAAGACACTGGTCTCCTCAAGCAGCTGGTTATTAAACCTGAGGTCAATTTTTCCACATGGATGAACTTCTGAAGTCAGACATCAACTCTTAATTCTTCTACAAGCATCCAAACTATGCCCTGGCAAAGAGGTACTCAACACTTCCCAAAATTCGCATCGTCTCAAAACATTGTATTTATGGCTAGCAGATGTGTCTAGCTAGCAGGAATGCTATGGCACCTAAAAGCCAATGGTATGTATACCTGCTTCTATGTATGTAATTGGTATACTGTTACTCTACCTGTAATCCTTACAAAGTCCACACAGTAACGACTTTGCCAAAGCCTTAATTAGGAGAGAAAAGACCAACCACAGAAAATTCATTTAAATAACTGTGGTAACCCCTTTTGCCTTCAATTTTTCTGCAACTTATTTGACAGCTCCCAGCACCCAGAGGAAGAAAAGCTGAGCTTTTTCTATTGTCCTCCAGTGACCCCTGCCCTCTGATGTGGTCATTACAATACCAGGCCATTCCACAAGCGCTAGGGAAGAGATGACATCAGAGGAAGAAGACAAAACAAAACAAAAGGAATAAAAGGGAGGGAGAAGTATCTGCCTGTCCCTCCTCAAAAGAAGTAGGTGCTAGCGATCAAAGCTCATCACACCAGTAAAAGACCACTTCTCCCATTTCTGATCCACATTCATTAGATGATACTCATGATATCAATGTAACAGAAAAAAAAATAAATCTACTTGTGTCAGTGTTACTGACACTCAGGTATTTGCAGAAACAGAGTCCCATGAAAGAGCAACACCAAAACGCTATGAAATGCAGTCTACAAATGGTTCTAGACTGCTTTCAAAATTTATTAGTAGGGTCTTCTCCCCCCATTCCCTAACAGAGCTCCTTCCCACTTCACAACTAAAACCTTCTCAGTAAAAGAAAAGATAAGGTGGATGTCAAGGGAGGGAAGTGAACAAAAAGTTAGTTTCAAACTAATCCCCAGAAAAAGTGAGGGAGAAACACGCTTTCCAAAGGTGCTTTCACCTCCACCTGTAGTTTTTTCACACAGGTCAATGTGCCAAGGTGAACTCTGGCGCACGGGCTGCCTCCTGAGCAGAAGTTCAAATGTTTGCAAACCCCCTGAGCGAGCGAGGCAGGGGGACACTGGCTGTTGCTAGGAGAGGAGTTTCGCAGAGCAGCAGGCTTCCTGCTAGACCTACACATGTGCAGGGCAGGGAATATATAAAATCAGGCCCAAACAAAGATGCCTTCTGCATCACGTGTGCACGTTTGCCATCTGCTGCTGCATCTCAGAGCATTGTTGTGGATCTGAGGAGGGCCTGCTGGTCCCTTCAGCTGATTAACTTGTTCACATGGCCAGGGGCACCTCTCTGCAATGCCGATCTTACCAAAATAACCACACCAATGAGTTATGATTTAATGAGGGGATGGTGACAAATTGTCCTCAAAAATACACTGCTAGAGTGCAGTCTCTCCTGCCGGGTGGATAGAGGCTTCTTTCAGGAGAAGATCAGGAGGGAAGTTAAGATAGCATTTACTAGAGAGTAACCACTTCCCTCACATACAGCATTAGTGGCATTATGTTATATGCAGCAGATAACCAAAACCAAGCCATTGGTAACTCATCCTGAACATGGCATCCTCTCTCCTGCAGGACTCTGAAGCACTACACCTGACCAGCCTCAGCACGTGGCAGCTCTGCTACCCTGTGCAAGCACACAAGTGGCCACAGGATGGGACCAGAAGAACGTATTGCTAACACACTGCACCACCAAAACACGACAAAGCATGTGTTTGGCTGCTGATTAGGTGCTGTTAGAAGAGCCAGAAGCTAAGCAATACCTCACTTTCTAACACTCAGATACAATCAGATTCTTTGGCTTTACACCTTTTTGAAGCAAAGGACCCAAGAAAACCGTAAACTTTGTCTTTACAGAACACTGTAAAGGGAAGGCCCAACACATCCTGTCATGCTCAGAGGCCAGTGAGGAAGAGGATCAGGTTGGACTGGGCTTTGAGCGAAGCTGTCCCTGCCCATGGCAGGGGTGCTGCAGTAGATTATCTCTATAGGTCCTTCCTGACCCAAACCATCCTTTGATTCTATGAATTTCAGTCAGTAAGCAAGCCATGGTCGTCCAGCTAGGCACACCACAAAACTTGGCTTTCAGTAGGTGACAGTGATGTTTTCTCCACGTTCTCAACCAGAAACAAAGTTCTCTCAGGGCAGAGACTTCCCACCTCTGTCTGACCCCTCCTTACCTTCATAGCAGTCCCGCACTGTGCCAAAGTAAACATAGTACTGGTCATTGGTGAAGAACAGGAGACTGAGCCATGAGTCAAAGGCATAAATGGGCACAATGAAGAGGATCCGAACGATGTAGCGCTGTTCGTTTGGGCAGCTATAGCAGCGAAGATGCATGTAGATCTGAGAGGACGGAGAGGAGAGACCAGGATCAGCGGAATATGGAGTAGAGAGGAGAAAGTAGAACTGGAGAGTCAATTGGGCCAGGAAAAACAAACTCAGTAAATCACCTCTTGATTGCCTCCAGCAGCCTCAAGGTGATGAACATAAAAGAAAAAATAGATCACTGTTATCTTTTGACATTGATATAGCAACCCTTAGTTTGCAGAGAGGGGGAAGGAGAAGGAAGAGGAAATGGAGGCATTTCTAATCTAGTTTCTTATAGGGAATTAATTTACTGTTACATCACCTTGCCCACATTCTTATGTTCATATCTTTTTTCCAGTTATCAGTCCTATATTCCTGCTATCCTCTTTTAAGTACCTAAGATTCACGCCACTGCAGGCTGCTTTTCTCTGAAGAGGGAATGTGCATGCACTTAAGCACATGCTCCTTGTGAACACACTCACTCTCTTGGCAGTTTTGGATGCTTTCAAGACTTTCACCTGAAACAACCTAAGAGAGCCCTTCAGAGCGCAGCCAAAAGCTGATAAGCCACAGCCTATATGCTCAAAAAGTGTCATTCTGCATACTGGTGACAGCACAGCCACAAAGTGACAGCCATCAAGGGAGCACTGAGCTCATGCAATGTGCTCAAAGGAACCGCAGGGCCGCAGAGTTTGTTTTGTCCGACTGTTTGCACACATGCCAATCCCCCTAAGTCACTGGCTGGGGGAGTGCACTGTCCCCACCCTACCCGCTCCCACCCCTCACAGTTTGTTAGCCGTCATTAAATCCCACACCTAAGATGCTTTTTCACAGAATACCCACCTCCTGAAAAAGGCACTGACCACAAGCACAACCTGAAGATGAGCACAGCTCCTGCAATGGCCTAATAACATGGCCAGAGCTTCAGCACAAGTTGTGGGTACGCTCTGTTGACCACGGAGTCAGCAGAGGCAAAGCCTCTGCATGGCAATTCTCATCGAGCTGCTGCCCCAACTGCTGGAATTAGTAACAGCTAGTTTATTACATGCGTGCCTCATGACTGACTGATTCTGCTGCCTGAAGAGGCACAAGTGTTTGTTTGAAGCTTCACCCTGCATTTGGGGATATTGTGAGGATTCTGCAGGGTCTAACAAACATACACTGATAATCTCACCCTTCCCTCATAAAGGAGAGGGGCTTGTCTCTCTCTCCCCAGCAGTCTGTGGCTTATCCCTCCCTGCCTCTTGGCCAGATCTGGTCAAAATTGACCGAAGGGCTAAAAAATACTTCCGTTTCCTCTCCTAACCCATGAGGACCTCACAAAACCCTAATTTCCTGAGGAGAACAGGTTGAAAATAAACTAACAAACCTTAGGGATATTTTTGCCCTTCGACAATCCCCGTGACACATCTCACCCAACACAGGGACAGCTGACACCGGAGTTCAGATGACTGCAAGCTTTGCCCTTGGGATGTCAAAAGAGCCCTGTGATCCGTGCGCCAACGAGAGCACAGGAGCTGCTGCCGTGTGAGAGGACAATGGCGCATTTCAATCAGCAGTGTCTCTCTGGCACTGACATCCATCAGTTTCTTCAGAGAAGGACATTAACGCCTAACTGTGCAATGCTATACTGTGGAGGAAAATTTCTTCCTACCCTCAGTAGGCAATCAATTTGACAGGAGGATCCATGGCACTTGTAACTGTTACCCAAGCTGGTGAAACCGCAGGAGCTACTCTTATTCATCTGTGACTAATCCATTTTTTAACTTCACTAGCCCCTGTACTCCATCAGTAGGCTGTAGTTTTCTAGATTCTAGTCATCACTCTGGAATCTATGATCCAACAGGTACAAAACACAGGTTGATAAATAACAGGGCTTGTGTTTCCCCACCGTGTTTTTCAGTTCACATGACAACTGCATGAAAGGGAGGTACGGAACAGGATGCAGGGTTTGAGTTGTTCTGGCTCCCAGGACACCTGCCCCAGAAAGCACAGAGGGGAGAAAAATTAAAATAAAACATTTCCTGCTACTCCTTTCCGCAGTGGAGTTCAGCCTTTGGAATCCACTGGCACAGGAGATCAAAGGAGGAATGTTAAACAACAGGTGACTACAATCTTTTAGCCAACAGCTGACACAATAACAAAATGGCTGGATTCAGATACAAGACCTGTGAAAGGATGGCCTGAGATTACACACCTTACTGCAAACACTCAAGAGATGGCCAAATGTTTTACAGAGTGTGCTTCTTCTCCATTCACACTACGGAAATGGTCTGTTCCTCCATGTGGGGAAAAGGAAAGGATGAGAAGTACGAGTGACAGGATTTTACCTGATGGCAGGTGATGAGCAAAGCTGTCCATACAAAGAAACCTGAGATAGCCTGAGCAGCAGTGGTCATGAGGAATATTGGCTGCTCCACAGCTGTGGGGCTGCCATCCTCCGGCATCCAGGAGAAGTTAGGAGCCACAGCTGGAGTGGTGGCAGTTGACCCCAATTTGGGGGCTGCAGTGACATCAGTCATCATTATCATGGTGCCTTTTGGTGTGAGGTTCCAGCTGGGATTGCTAAAGAGCTGCCCACGAGCCAAGACCTGTCAAGGAAGAGGACCAAAAAGCAATTGAATGCAGCTGAAAGGAGTCAGGAGCATAACAGTAACAGTGCTTTGCATCTCTCACATGCCTTTCACCAGGCTGCTCACATGTTTTAGGAATAGGACCTAGATAAGTCTGCCACTGCCATCCCTCGTGACACAACAAGTCATGTGGTGTTCAGGAACCTCTCACATCCTCCCAGAGATCCTGGAACTGCCACTGCCATTGTCACCACCCTACTGCAATAAAAATACTTCAGCACAAGATGAATAGAGCATTTACCTGAGATCATAGAATCATAAAATGGTTTGGATTGGAAGGGACCTTAAAGATCATCTCGTTCCAACCCCCTGCCATTGTCATGGACACCTTCCATTTGACCAGGTTGCTCAGAGCCCCATCCAATCTTGCCTTGAATACTTCCAGGGATGGGGCATCCACAACTTCACCTGTTCAGTGCCTCACTACCCTCACAGTAAAGAATTTCTTCCTAATATCTAATTTAAGCTACTCTCTTTCAGTTTAAAACCATTCCCTCTGGTCCTATCACTGCATGCCCTTGTAAAAAGATCAGAAGGAAGCATCTAAATCATCCATACTGGAAGATGACAGGCACAACTAAGTTAACAGCTCTGCTTTCCATAAAAGTAGGGGCTATTCTGCTGTGTCTTAGTGTTATGGTTAGCCTGCCAAGCAGCAACAGGCAACAACAACACGTGCCACAGTGTCATTATGCAACACGGTGGGTGAAGGGAAGAGTATCCTTTATTCCTTCAGCAAGCAATTCCTCCTCTCCTACTGCCATGTTGAAAACCACACTCTGTCCAAAGCACCCTCATTGAAAGGATATGCACTGAAAGCTTTCCTCGCTTTGAGAGCACGGAAGTCATGCTTCTACCAAACACTGTATGGTACAGTACACTTAGCCAGCCAGTTATTAATTCTACTAACTTAGCATTATTTTCTACACAATGTGAATTTAACCTGATTGGCTTTTAAAAGCCAGCTGACCCATGAAAACACCCAGAACATGGAAGATCTCAAATCAGCATGACCCTTGGCCCTTTCCTGGATAAAAAGCTATCTTCTTTCAATGGAACAAATTCTTGAAGGTCTAAGATCTAAAGTAGCTATTATTTTCAATTTGGTTGTAAGCAGGCTCTAGTGTGACCTCTGGATTGCAGGACAATAATCCACTTAAACCAAGGTCACAAGCAGGCAGCCATTGGTTCTACCCATTAGAAGAGCTGCTTCTGATGTGGTTGCAGTAGAGATGTGGCTATCGAGAGGAACAGCACAATGTTGCCTCCTTCTGATAACCTCCTAATAGTTTTTAGAATGCCCTTTCTGTAAAAGCACAAGCTCTTGCACAGGCCTTTATGATCAGTAGATGGAAAGGGGTTTAGAAAGGCCAACAAGCCATCTCCACAGTTTACAACTGCAGCAGGGAAGGACATGTCTGTCATTTACTGGCAGGTCATCACACAACACAAATGAGAGCATACACTTGAAGATGAACTGCCCCAGCTCTGCTCCACCTGAAGCCACAGCACAAACTGGGGAACAGGTACCCAGTAAAAGCAGAGGGCCAGTAGCAAGTCCTCTCCACATGCACTCTAAGATGTGCAAATGGCTCCTCCAGCACAGGCTTTTTCAAAACACACATTTGCATTAATGATGTACAGCACTCTGATGTTACTTTTGCCACAGTCCACCTTATTTCTGCTTTCTTCCACAGGGGAAAGAGAAAAATCCTGGGAAATACACAGATTTTTAAAGTAGAAATTATCTTACTATACATGGAACTGCACAACTGCTGTAGTTTAATTTACAAACTAATCGCCAAACTTGGCTTTTCTTCGTTTTTTCCAGTTGTTGTTTTTCCAAAATAGCCCTGCTCTGAGTTACAACTTTCCATAACCACATGTACAGCAAGGGTAATTCCTTTCCAGTCCTGATCAGTACAGGAAATACAATGGTTCAGTTTTGAGCTTCAAAACATACATACACACACACACACACACACACACACACGCACATTTCATTACCTATATCTAAAAATTTGGAGAGCTGGATGAGGATGTCACAAAGTAGCAACTGAACGCTCACAGTGCTGAGACAGTGCTTCCACTAAGCTCATAAAGGGCACATCTAGAATGAAATCAGAGCAGATGCACCTGTGGTTAACCTAGGTCTAAATAAAGTCCAGCCAGCTGCAAGCTTGCACATCCCATGCACTTTGGGAGATATGCAAGAGAGGAAGCTGCTAAGCCCTTCCTAAAGTTCACGGGGGAGAGGATCTGTACATCAGACCACAAGTGGCAGGAGGAATAGGACCTGGACATCCACACTCCAGATAAACAAACCACATCAACAGCACAGTCCCAAATGCAGTGTCAGTACCATCAGCAGAAGCGAAGAACTGAAAGGGAATTGTTCTGTGTCTTTGCACTCGTTTTAAAAGAAGTGGAAATAGCAAAAAGTGATCAACAAGCATTTTGACATGAGAAGGGTTATGTATTCAGAAACAGGGTCACTTATAAGTTCAAGTTGTGTATGTAACCTTAACACTGCCCCCTTGTGATTATACATCAACCACCATTAATTACATGATTGTCCATCATTCTTAACCTAATCCCATTTAATTGACACAGTCATTGAAATTAATAACTCTTTGCAGCACTGTGTTCTGAAAGAAGACATACAAACTTTCCTACAAACTAAGGTTCCACTCCTCCTATGCCAAACCTCAATTCACCTCACCCCCTAGTTTCTCAGGGTTGCCCCTGAGGACAGCTTTTTATTCACTTGATACTTTTTACTGGTTCTAAGCATCAGTTGGCAGTTCATTCTCCTTGCTAGTGAAACATGGTGGAATGCTGTACTCCCAAATCTGCAAAATTAACATACACTTTCTGAATTATCCCTTCTAATCTTCTCAAGTCCCACACATCATAGCTACGGTGACAGGTATAAGCAGTGCACAAAGCTGTTATGAAAGTCTAGTGTATGCAAGAAGCTGAAGCTGTGAGAGCAAATCTGGTCTATACTTAAGAAAAACAGATAATAGCACAGATGATTAGAGCCTTAACAAGGTGAGTGGATTTCATCTCATTCAGTACCCCAAATCAGCCTTTGAGCTCCTCTTTTGCTTCGTTAAAAAGAACATCACGAGGATGGGCCGTTAACTCACTTTACAGGCCTTTCTTCTGAGAGGCCTCTTCCCCTGTGCAACAGGACATAAGTCTAGCAAACCATTAGAACAGTTTTCCAGTAAGGGTAGTGCCTGGGAGCACGTCACAGCGAACATGCTGCCTTGACAAGCTACAGATCAAGCACCTTGGCATAAACAGCTTCCCTCTTACCTGACACTGTGAATGTGTTTTGGCACTTGTTTCTTGGACACCTACCTCCATCACAGCCCAAGTCAGTGCCACAATATACCTTCCTGCTTCCTCTCACAGCTGGGTAAAAAGATACTTTCCAAGAGCCACAAAGCTATTCCCTATTCACTTCCATCTTCTCCACTCTCCCACTTTGCTACTCCAGTTGTGCAATGACCTGACATCAGTCAGGCTCCTGGCTGTGATCTCTTTCCAGTGCTCCTCCCAGCTGGCTGTATTCCTCTGTTGTTTCTTGTGCATTTTAAGCTCCCTGGGACAAGTGCCTTTTTGTTCTCTGCCCATACAGTTCCCAGCACGGCAAGGTACCAAACCAAGAGGAAGGCGCTTGACATTACCATATGTAAAATCAGGGGCATTTAGAAACATGAATTACCAATGCAATACAAACCAATCTAATGCATAATAGATTTTGGAGAGTTCCTTACTTTTCTGCCATATCTTGTCTTCTCTGCCCATCTCTTTCCTCTCTACCTCATTGCTTCCAGTTCAAGGGAGAATAAAGTTACTTGCACACTTATTCTCCCTCTCTGGAGAACATTCCTAAATATATCAAAGGAAAATATTTCAACACTTCTACATTTCACTCTTGGAGCTTTCCCCATCTTCAACTGACTACCTTGCTCCCCCCGGAGGTAACCTGAAATATAACAGGATCAGGGGAACAGAGAGCCAGGAAAAGTGCCAAACTTTTGGAAACTGGAAACATGCACACATAACAGTACATCTAGGTACTCTCAGGGCTTTTGAATGCAGGCTTAGGTGTATTTCAGGATGGCCACAGGAAACTTGGATCAGAGCTGTACGATTCTTCTACGTGGGTTACATGAGCTTCAGGCAGTGCCTAGGTCTGTATGAGGTCTTATACCCAAAAACCTCGAAAGTGGAAGGCAGAGATCATAGCCCCATCCCCTACAAGCTGTTACCTGTCCCTGCCCAGAAGTCATTACAAGTTACGCACATTAGAGCAAGACAGGACCTCGTACTACCAGGGCATTTAGCTTAAACACCAACCTTAGTACCAGCTTAAACTTATCTCAGAGATCTTCTGAAAGCACTTTAGGAGTATTAGGGGCTGCTCTCAGTGCAAGCAGGGGAAAAGAAAGCAAAACAAAGCATGTGCTATTTCTATCAAGATAACTATCCTGATGAAAACCTAGAGATGCAATTGGATGCAAAAATAGGATTTTTGATAGAGAAGAGGCTCTAAACTGCATGGGGACAGATTCTGTTAGAGATAGAAACCGACATAAAGCTAGCAAGGATGTGTCCACATGGTCTACATCCACAGGAAAACAAAAGCGCACTAAATCTCCACCAGGAGCAGATTGCCAGTCCTGTATCTTTTGGAAACAGAGATCTTCTGTCTTCAACATTAACATGGCAGCTTCTTCCACTGAAAATACACTCAGAACAGTAAACATACAGGATGTGGCACAAGTGAAAACAAAAAACTTCATTTCTGCCTTGCATAAAGGCATGGAAAATCTTACCACTGAGTAAGGGCTATTTCTACATAAACGAACATAAAGAGGGAAACCTCATTTCTGACGCAACAAAAGTGGCGTAAGAGGAGGAAAGAAAGATTCAGGTTTGGT